GCCACGGCTCTTGGCCCCACCTCCTCCTGACGGTCCCGAGGGGCGGGGGCAGGACGGCGGCGGCCGTGGGCACCTTGGCTGCGGTGTAGACAGAGCCCGTTCTCCACGGCCAAGTCCGTGGGGAGAAATGGTGCTGAGACACCAACCCCCAGGGAAAGCGGGGGCGGCTGCTCGGAGACAGAGATTAGGGGGTGTGCACGGCGGGGTCTTCCCGGACCCAGAGGTCTAGGCGAGCAGAGACTGCGGGGACCTTGTCCCTGTCTGATGAAACGCAGCTGCAGGAGAGTTAGTGGAGCTGAGGAAGGGTGATCAGTGGACCCACACTTCGCCTCGTTCTAGAGAGTCTGGAGGCCGACGGCACCATCGGTTGCCCTGTGCTTCTCCCTGGAGGCTCACCGCGTCAGGACTGTCCACTGGGGCTCGGCGTCCCCGCCCGGCCACAGTCCAGACCCACAGCGCCCTCACGAGTTCAAGCCTGACTGCGCCTTTCCCTCCCCCTCCCCGTAACCTGGCTTTCCCCGTCTGCGGCAGCGAGCGTACACGCGTCATCGGTCACCTTAACCAGGACGCTGCCCTGCTTGGTCCCTGTGGCCCACTGGGGTCATCGTTCAACAGCCTCCACACATGGCGGAGCCCCTGGCTTGTGAGTGGAGCTGTACGGGGCGCTGTTCGTGCTGCGGCGGCCGTGGCTCCGGCCACGTGAGGAAAGGCCGGGCAGGCGACACTGGACGGGGCGAGGCCGCGCCACCGCGTGCATCCGGTGCCGGGATTACTGTGAGCTGCCGGCAATTAAGCAGCAGCAGACACGGGAGGAGCTGTTGGCCTCCTCTTTCTGCCTAAAAGCAGGGCAGAAATTTCCCTTTGTGAAGGGGACCCCTCCCTCTCCCACCCCCAAGGAGGACAACGACGACGTCACGGGAGGGAGGAAGCGGCTCCCACGCGGTCCGCACGCACGACCTCACCGGAACGACCCTTATCTTCCCCGAGTGTCCCCCGCGTGGCTACCGTCCCCCATTCACCGACCCCAGAAGCTCAAAGCCCCCTTCTCCGTCACCGTCCCACAACTTGTCACTGCCTTTGCTCGGATGGCGCACGCGCCCTCCAGCCCAAGCCCTTCTCCGTCTCCTGCTCTCCTGCAAGGCTCCCGTGTGCCCGTCGCTCCCTCCTGTTCATCTCTCCTGCCGTCGGTTTAATTCACAGGCCCCAGGCACTAAACCTGAGAGGGTACAGGACAAGCTTTCCTTCCCCCGCAGGTTTCAAGGGTGCGCACAGCAGGTACCCGGAGTGACAGGACAGGTGGCCCCACGCCAGGCTGGACAAACACCGCAGAGGACGACACCGGTTCCTGGCCGTGCCCGGACCCTCACTCAGAGGAAAGCCAGGAAGGCGGAGGCCACTGGGACGGGGGCGCCACAGGTAAGGGGTCCTCCAGCAGCAGAGACGCCGTCTGGGAGGGTCCGGCTCCCCCTCTGGCGGCGGTGGGGACGGGTGGAGGGGAAAATTGGATGTGAGCGCCGGGACAGACGGGCAGGAGGCCCGGAGCGAGAGGAGCAGGAAGGCGCAGGGCGCGGACGGGGCTGTCGTGCCGCGTGCGCGCGCCTTCGTGGGCGGGGAAGTGGCGAGCCGGGCCCCAAGGGATGCCAGAGTATTTCTGCGTCTTGACCTTCCTCGGCCTCACGGCACACGGCCCACTAGAGACCCACGCCAGCCACCAGGGGGCAGTGGCCTGAGGACCCGCGACGAGGGACGAGCGCGTCCCGTCCTTCGGGGAAGGAGCGTACGCACAGCCCCGGGGCGGGTCGCGCACACATCGCTCTTCATCTCGTGTGTGCTCACTTTTCCTTGGCCGGTAAAAGTCAGCGCCGCCCACCACACCCCGTGCCGGAACGGTCCAGACAGAAGGCACTAGTGGTCGCCAACGCCCTTCTGCAGGTGTGCTGGGGGTTACTGAGACCAGCCCCATGATGTGCCCGCCCGCGCCCTCCCAAGCTGGGCCCTGACCCGAACATCAGCGCTCCGGGGCCACTGGCTTCTCCGCAGCCACACGCACCTCCACAGCCCTGCTCCGACCCCGTGTCCACTGCTCAGGCATCACGCCTTCGACGCACACGCACCCCCATCTGCACGAGAACTGCCACGTCTGCCAAGGTCCATCAGGCACACTGGCCGCACGCCGGCTGCTGTCTGACCTGACTACAGCCCCTGACGAAGTGATCCGGAATGTTCCAGCCCGGGTGTGGAACTCACCTCTAAGGCCCCACTGTTTTTCCTGCAGTCATCGGTCAATTTGGTCAATTTGGCATTTCTTGCCTCCACTTCCTTCCCCAAATGTAAACTTCACTTGTATTTCTTCTTGCTTCTGATCCTTTAAGCGATTTGGTTTATTCTTCACAGCTAGTTGAAACCTTCTGGCGTATTACGCTGACGTCTGCACATTACGGTCAACCTCCCCGTTTTTCTGACACTCGGCTTCTCCGATTTTTGATTAAAATGCCCTGGCTGGCTACTGTTGAAAGGATATTTTATAGTGTTTTTGGTGTATTAAAGAAGTCAAATTTCGGTTTCCGGTTTATAGAAACTGAACAAGTAACCTCTTCACCTGAATCATAAGTCTCTCTCTGCCTGTGTGTGTCTACGGTGGATAAAAAGGCCAAATACAACAGGGGAATCTGCGCGATTAGAGAGCACGTGCTCACAGAGGTGTTGAGAACTAGGTAACATCTCAGACAGTTTCGAAATTCCCTGAAGGAAAAGTCCGGTGACAGGCCTGTGCCATAGGCGTTCTCTCCTCATCCAGCAAAACGAAAAGGAGAAAAATGTGACAGTGAGACGTGGCTGTGAGTAAACGGAGCCGACTGGTGTAGACGTCAGTCTTCCCTCAGTCATTTGGCCGCTTTCTTCAGGAACAGCAGCCGTGTGTGAGTGTGAGAGGCGGCATCACACACAGTCACTCCTACAGCCCGCCCCTCCTCCAGGACGGCTCTGGGACTTGCTCCTCAACCCCGCCTCCCAGAGAATGCTCAGAGATTTTCGCTGTAAAAGGAATGTGGGCAGAGCTTTTTCCTGGTTTCTCCACCGTCCACAAAGGTGATGGCTTTGCCAGTTAAGGGACAGAGGGAATGACCCTTCTGTGGTGCTATTTCTCAGCTGGCTTCCTCCCGGCAATTTTAAGGAGGCCAGGACTGGAGCCAAGTGTGAGCAGAGGAGCAAACAGGAAGCCCATTGTCCTACACAGTCATTTCAGCCTGATAAGCCCGTGTCAGGCTAATCACTGCACTAGCAGAGCACACAATGCATCTTGTATTTACACTGACTTCAAGTATTTTTTAAGTACTATGTCCACCTCTCATCATGCCTGATATCTGGGCCAACCCTGCACATCAGAAATAATTCACGGTTTGCAGGTACAGCGTCTCATTTCTCGGGACTGAAAAGGCCTCTCCACGCGTCACCTCCATTGTTCCCACAGCAGCCTCTGCAGGCGCCGGGCCCAGACCCATGACGGGCGCCTCGTCCCTGCAGCCGGCAAACCCCCGGGAAAGGATTTCCCCAAAGAAGCGAGGCCCGCACGGAGCCCAGGCGCCCTCGCCACCGTTTTGAGGCGTTTGCCACGGTATTTTCCGGTCCCGCTGTGAGAGGGAGCATCACAGAAGGACTCAGGAGCAGATGGCCGGAGTGACACGTTTTCATGGGGACATCGATGCCGCCACGGGCTGTGACCAGCGTTTTACAGCCCCGGGAGAGAGAACCGCGCGGTGGGTCCTCCACTGCTACACCGAACTTTGACCTTTGTGGACTCCCCAATACCCTAGTTCGAGATACACGAAAATTAGCAAATCCTCCCAAACCACGACGCCCTCTCCAGGCACCCCGCCCTTCCCCGAACGCTGCCCAAAGCCGCCGGGCGCGCGCCGGGAATGCGGCGCATTTCAGCACCAGCCTCGGGGACAGACGCCACAGGGTGGGG